TTATATTTTCCGATTACAACAGAACCTTCTTAATTTGACCGCGTAATGATACTACTTGAGTTCCTATGGTCAACACAGCGATCAAATATATGCGGTTCACTACTGGATCACTCATTTTCGATACAGCTTCAGAAATTGAGCTCTGCCTCACGATCTGAGTACAACTCATGGACAACATGAATACTTTTTCAACAGTAGAGAATCTCCCTAATCTAATCGCTTATAGAAAGCATTACGTTGCTGAGCAAACCTAACAATAAGAATGCAAATTGCTTGAACATGATACTCCTGATATCCCTGCAGTAAGTCATGCATTAATGAGTGTGAATCATCGATTGTTTAGAGTTTAGCGATATGATGAAATCTCTTTCAGAATTCAGCTCTACTATCGAAACTGTGCATAATTAGTCGATATCTTCTTGTATGCCCTTCCGTTACCACATACACATGAGGTGAAGAACCCGCATGATGCTGACAGTGAGCATACGACTAATTTGGAAAGCGTGCTCGTGATATCGTCAAAATGTTTTTAGTCATATCAGTTCATTGATGGCCCCACTGAGATAATTGATAAATTCCGTGAAAGGAATGCGCGTATTTTTTGCAATACATAATGAATTGCAGTTTCTTTCATGAGTTTTTTGGTGTGCAATGTAAATTTTTGTATTCAGACAAGATGCTCATATATATTGAGCGTATTTTACAGCGAATATTTTTTCTGATTTTTTTCTAATGTTTGTCCTATTCGTCTCTCTGCGGGATTCATTCGTTAGATTTGTTATTTTAGAGTGAATAGAGGAATCGGGAAATGATTCATTTATTTCTCTTGAAGAAGAATAATTATATATTTAAGGGACGAAAATTTTATCGTATAATCATTATTATCCTCTCAATACTTTGATCGGCATGATTGATTACAACTGAATTGTTATTTTTTGCATATTGCAACAAACAGTTCGTTATTGTTTACACAATCAACTCAGAAGATACTTTATAGGAGCATGTTGATCTCATGAAGCGAAATTTATGGTTACTTTAAAAAAAATGAAACCTAGTCAAGAAATTTGATTAAGAGCGTTGTACTGGTATATTCGAAAGGAAGTTTCCTTCAGATGCAGTCCGAGCGTTTTGCAGTTTTTGGGAGATATCGTCCATGTTGATTCAAATAAATGCACTCTGACTCAGTTCTGGATAACGTTTCTCAATCTAACAGATCCGCTACGCTTAAGAGGGAGATAAATACTTAAAATATTCGATATATTTGAGCAGAGCTAAGGTATTTGCTCAGGAATGTTCAAATATCACAGTAACCGAAGAGTTCTTTTGCTTAGTATTCACGATATTCAAGTGATCTATCAGCTTATCAATGCAAATGCAAAATCAAGTGATCATTTAATCAATCCAGTCGGCGATAAAAATGTTCGTTTCGCCTTGATGAGTGCCATTTCTTCGACTTGCCCAAATCATTCGTCTTTGGTTTCCATCGAACGTTGGGAAGCCATCAGCACTACCATTTTGGCCTGTTACCTGAAGTTCGTAAATGATCTATAAGGTGACTTTGACAGTACATCGATACAGCTGACTTTTCTAACTGCTTCGACGCTATCGAAAAAAAATTATAAAAGCTTATCTGACACTTCAGTTTTCACGAATTTCTTCAGAGCAGAACGTTCTGGCTTATGACTTACGAGCTTTTCGTTAGACAACCCACTTTCTTACGAATATCAATACGAAATTGAAGTCATCAAATCAGTGTGCTTGTTCTTCCATTGATACTAATCCATGTTAACGGCTACATTATTACCAAATTAGATTGACCATTACTTAACTGTCAATATCCAATTCAACAAGGATTATTGTTTTTTTTNTTTTTTTTGGAATTTCGAAATAAACTGAGCACCTTTTCAAGGTTTTTTCCATCTAAATCGATCAAGTACAACGCGAAATCGCAACATTTCCTGTCCATTGCATGATTTGATGCGAATATAACGCGTTTTCCATCTTTGAGAAAGTATGGCGAGATGTTAGCACCACCGAGGTGGGTCAATTGCGTAACATTCGATCCATCAGCATTCATCACGAAAAGCTCGAGTTCTTTAGGCGACACCAAATTATAGCTGAAATAGAATACTGATCTTCTGACTATGAGAGAGACTGTTGATGATTATTTATGGTCAGATTTTTCATTATTTCATGCGGCCAATTCTTGTGCTGTATTCTGGAATCCGGCTCTAGTATTCATGCCTTCAAATGTAAACTTGAAAATTCATTATCAGCATCGCTGGTGGATCATACGGGATGCAGAAGACCAAAGCTCTTTCATGTGATCCTTCATATGTGTGATGAACTAAAAGTATTATATTCATTCAAAATCTGTTTTAAAGACATCACGAAACCTAAGCATCTTCGTGTAACGTTCCAATTCCGCATCAGTTTTCGGTCGAGATGCTTCGAAAACGATTTTGCTTCCATCTCTACTGAATGTTGCATGTCCGTCGTAGCCAATTTCGTTTGTCAACTGAAAATCAGAAACGGTCAATTTTCCTGAAAAAAAAATAATTTCTCGTATCATCTTAAGCAAGTAAGACTAGTTAAAGTGAAAAAAGCACAGAGTCGAAAACGACTACAGCGTAAAAGTGGAAAAAGTTGATTCTCAGACACTGCAAATCGGCTGAAGAATCAATTATTATCCAAAGTACTGAAGGCAGTCATATGAGGAACATGTTCTAAGGTATATGAAGCGCGTAGAAACATTCATTTACGTGTCACGTGTTGGATTTGGTTGAATGACACCAAACGGTTCATATAATATAA